ATGATGCGTAACCATGGCAACAAGGCAGTTTTCTACAACCAGGAGCAGCTGATTAACATCTCAAAAGCTCAAATAGTATCTCAACTATGGCCCCAACTCTCAAATGAGTTGAAAAGGATGTGGATGCATTCTCATCTACCTGCCAGCTGTGCTCGAGTGCCTGACCACTGAGATCCTGGAACTAGCAGGAAACACGGCTCACGACAGCGGAAGGACAGGATCGTCCCTCGGCACCTACAGTTGGCTGTCCACAGCTATGAGGAGCTCGGCAGGCTGCTGGGAGGAGTGGCCGTCGCTCTGGGAGGAGTTCTGCCCAGCATTCAGGCGGAACTACAGCCCGGAGGAACCGAGAGGCCAGACGAGTCTGGGTGGACGGATCAGACGGCATCTGCAGCCAGTTTCTTAGGATCCACTGTGGGATGGACCTTTACAAGAAATCCTTCCTGTCTACAGCCATCAGCATCTATAACATCTCTTAATGAAATGAGGATGACGAGTTACAACAACAAATAATTTCCCTTTGGGATTAATAAAGTATTTTTGAATTGAATTGAATAGAAAATCGAAGACGGTCTTTGTCGTGTGTATGTGAACTGACCATCCCAGTTATTTGAGGAGACTATGCTTTCTAGTTTTTATACTGCTTAAAGTACAGTTTTCCTCAAATGACTGAGGTGTCTGATGATTAATCTGTGGTGGCTAAGGCCACCACTGACCTCCCTCTGACTCAGCCACTGTTCCTGGTCATGGATAAAACTGTTCTCTACACCCACCAGGATCTGTCACTCTGCATTTCCACGGACGAGCAAAAAAAAAAAAAAATCACTTCTATTGCTTTACACAATAACTCCTCCCCACTTGAATATCTTGCACCAAAACACTTCCTGTTCAGTTCCAGTCCAGAAAAACACTCATCTCCAAAACTACAAACGTTCACTATTCATATCCATCAGTGATGGGGGACACTGGCATATTGCACGTTTTGTAAATGTTTCCTCTTTGTCAGTTGCGTGTGAAACAGTAGAA